ACTTGCCGTGCATTCGACCAGGAAGTCGGCCAAGGCTTGACCCTTAATGGAAGGCCGGGGTTGATACTCAATCCCATACTGAGTCAACTCTACGGCCCATTTTACAAGTCGACCGGAGGACAAGGGGTTTCTTAGCACGCTTCCGAGCGGCTGGTCTGTCAAAACTCGAACGGTATGGGCTTGGAAATAGGGTGCCAGCTTGCGCACGGTGACTACCAACGCATACACAACCTTTTCCAGAACGGTGTACCGCGTCTCAGCGGCCTTCAACGAGCGACTTACGTAATAAACCGGGTGCTGGACTCGGTCCTCCTCTCGGACCAACACCGAACTCACTGCTTTGGCTGAGGCGGCGAGGTACAAGAATAAGGGCTCGCCCACCTGGGGGGTAGACAGCACTGGGGGCGTTGAGAGGTACTGTTTCAACTCCTCGAACGATTGTTGGCATTCGGCAGTCCAAGCGAATCCCTCCTTCTTCATGGCTTCGAAGAAAGGCACGGTCTTATCCGCCGCTTTGCTCAAGAAGCGGCTAAGGGCGGCCAATCGGCCAGTCAACCGTTGTAGGTCCCTGACGGTTGTAGGAGGCTGCATGTCGATGATGGCCTGTACCTTCTCCGGATTAGGCTCGATGCCTCGTTTGGTGACCATGTAGCCCAAGAATTTGCCACCTTGGACGGCGAACGCGCACTTTTTGGGGTTCAGCCGAAGGTTGTATTTCATCATTACCTTGAAGCAGTCGGCCAGGTCCTTCGCATGCTTGTCCTCTTCCCGGCTCTTGACGAGCATATCGTCGACATACGCAGCAATCGATTTCCCAAGCAGGTGTTGGAACAACCGGGCGACCATCCGGGTGTACGTAGCCCCGGTATTTTTAAGTCCGAAGGGCATGATTCGGTAACAGTAAGCTCCGTCCGGTGTCAGGAAGGCGGTCTTCTCCTCATCCGCCGGGTGCATAAATATTTGGGGGAACCCTCTGAAGGCGTCCATGAAACTCAGTAGCGCCGACCCGACCGTTTCGTCGACTAACTGGTCGATCCGAGGTAGGGGAAACGGGTCTTTCGGACAAGCCTTATTAAGATCGGTGTAATCCACGCACATTCGCCACGTCGGGGGCTTGGGTACGAGGACCACATTTGCCAACCACTCCGGGTACTTAACCTCGCGGACGTGCCCGGCCGCTAGTAGCGTGCCAACTTCCTTCTTCACAAATTCCCTCCGGTCGTTGGCCAGGTATCGTTTCTTCTGTACGACCGGTCGGTGCTCCGGATCCACGGCGAGTCTGTGCGATATGATTGATCGGTCGACACCAGGCATGTCCTCGGGGCCCCAGGCGAAAATCGTCCGGTGCTCTCGGAGCACCTTTACAATTTCTTTTTTCAATGTCTCAGAGAGGCCGACTCCAATTCGGACCCGTCGGTCCGGTTGCGTAGAGTCGATCTCGACTTCCTCCAACTGGACAGCAGGCTCTGGGCGAGGTAGTATCGTCTTCTTCGGGGGCCTCTCAGTGATCTCATGGATCTGCATCTCGCGTTTGCCCATCCCTCTGCATGCCTGCAGATAGCAGTCGCGGGCGACCTTTCGGTCACAGCGCACCGTACCTACTGCATTTGGTGTGCGGAATTTCAGGCAGAGATGCTCAATTGAGATCAAAGCCCCTAAATCCTCAAGACCCGGTCGGCCGAGTATAGCGTTATGCGAGCAGGCCAGGTTTACCACAATAAATTTCATGCTGAGTCTCTGTACGTCCGGGTACGTGCCAATCTCAACTGGAAGTGTGATTGACCCCTCCGCCTCCACCGAGTCCCCTGTGAAGCCGGCGAGGGGAGTTTTGACGGGGTTCAGCGGTTCTCGAGTCAGCCCCATTTTGGTGAAGGTTTCTAGATATAGCACGTTGACGCTGCTCTCGGTGTCCACCAGGATTCGCCGAACGACGATGCCGTTGACGTCCATGGCTATAACCAACGCATCTCGATGCGGTATTTCTCCGGCTGGTAAGTCTCTGTCGGTGAACACGATGGGCTCTCGACACACCTTTTTAGAGTTCTCCTCACGCCCGTACACTGTCCCGACGTACAACTGCCGGGCCCAAGCTTTTCTGGTGTTCGCTGAATCACCACCTTCCGGCCCGCCGACTATCATGTTGATAACCGGTTTCTGGCGCCACTGAGCCTCCTCCTCTTCGGGAACCGGCTGCTTGCCTCGACTGCTTTCGGCAACGGCGACAGGTTCCTCATCCCTTCGACTGCCCGGCCTCCGCCTCCATTGGTTAGGAGGCGGGGTTCCTTGCTGGATGATACCCTCCATGATCTTCTTCAGGTAGAAGCACTCCTCCGTACTGTGAGTATAATATTTATGATAACGACAATACTTAGAGTTCTTACCCACCTCTTCGTTTGTCGCGCGATCATCGGTCGGCGGAGGCGGAGGCGGGGCAACCGCTTGTACCTCGTGGACCGGACGCTCGGGAATCGGCCGATAGGCGTGGACCACTGGTCGGTCGTACGGCCGTCTAACTTCGGGTCGCCGAGCCACGTCCGGGCGCCTTTCTTTGGCTTCCGCTCGCGTCCTCTTTCCGCTGGCGGATCCGCCGACTTCGCGCTGTCGCTTGTACTTCATAGCCTGCTCCGTATTGGCCCTCTTGTTGGCCATATGAATGGCATCTGCGTAGGTGGCCGGACGATTGTCCCTCAAGTCTCGGTACAGCTGGCCGGACCGCAGCGACTCGATGAAGAAGGTGAGCGCTGTCTGGTCCTCGACCTCCTCTATGGACTGGATTTCTCTCTGCCAGCGAGCCAAATAGGTTTTCAAAGATTCGCCTTCGTCTTGACGGATGTCACCCAAGTGAGTTAGGTCCTTTTGTGGCTTGATATTGGCGGCGTAATGGCTCATGAAGCGGTCTGCCAGCTCTTCAAAGTTGTGAATCGACCCTGAGGGCTGCGCCACCAGCCACCTTTGTGCTGACCCCTTCAACGTGGGTAAGAAAGCGCGACACATAACCGGATCTCGTACCCCCAAAACCTGCATCTTAGCCTGATAGCTCAGCAAATGCTCACGGGGATCGCCGGTTCCATCGAACGTGGCTTGCTCCGGGAACTTGAAGTCACTCGGTATCTTAAAAGCCATAACCTCGTCCGAGAAGGGTAAGGCGGTCAGCAACGTACGTCCTGGGGACTTGGCTTTCCCCTCCATCCGTTCTTTCAGATTTCGCACCTCCTGTACTAAGTTTGCCACTTCTACCCTCTCCCGGGTGCGATTTCCCGTGGATTCCGTGCTCTCGCCGACTTCAGACTCAGCCGGTACGACGGGGTTGCGGGGGGGTTGCTCCACGCGACGAGTCTCAGTCCTGGCTCTTTTGGTTCGGCTCTTCTCTCGTGCAGCTTGTTGATCGCGGGCGGCTAGTGGGGCACGACTGGGCTCCTTCCGGCCTAATCGTTCTCTTGCCGACCGACGCCCAACGCTGGGACCCAGCCGGGAATGAACGGATTGTACCGGTTGGCTTTCAGCCCGTCGGCTCAATTGCCGGTTGTCAGGCCTCTGAGGCGGTTGCAACTCGCGTTGCGGCTGGCGGGTGACGGACTGTTCTCTCACTCCTAGGCTTGCTTCGGCGCAGGCGCGTCCGATTGCGCGTAACTGCTCCGGGGTGAGCAGCACCTGAGGCAATTGCCGGTTTATCTGCGGCGTCGGCGGCGGTGTCGTCTCGATTTCTTGGCTCCGAGCGCTTCTCCGATTCAGCTGGCTTCTCAGGTCGGCCTCTCGTCCGTTGTCATGACGGCTCGACTGTTCCTCGCTTCCTGCCATGTCTGGAGTTTTCCTAATTCGACTGAGGTTCTAACTGTCGTTCCTCGGACTCGCCTCACTCATGAGGATACGTGACTCTTCGTTTCGATCCCCACAGACGGTGCTAGTGATGGTTTTAGGGTTTTCGGGCCCAAGGAGGTCCAACACAACTTTTGGTCGGTGGATACACCTCTCGATAAAATGTACGTCTAACTCAGAGGTAATGCTAGTGCTTCGGAATTTCTTTGTTATTTTCCCCCCCTCCCGGGTGTCCAAAAATGTCTACCTTTTACAAGAATGGAGGAGCCTTTATATAGTGGCTCCTTCTCTGCCGACTTGAAGGCCCTTAATGGCCGACTTCAAGGCTAATCAAGATATGGAGCCGTTGGACGCCATTACTCGGTCGACCAACGGCTCTCCTAGGCTTGTAACAGCCCGACCGGGTCCTGCCTTTAATGCTTCAACGGCTCTCTTTTAAAGGAACCCCTTTAATGCCCTCAACGGCTCCTCGAGCCGAGTCTTTTCCTGGGCTTGGGCCTCGGCCGACTCCTGGACTCGGCCCGATTGCTCTTTGGGCTCCTCTCGATGCTGGCCCACTTCTATTTTCTTTGGGCCCCTATCTCTTGGGCCGGGGTCCTTACCCCATCATTTGGTAACATAGTTTATCAGTTAATTTTGACTTGTTTGATAATTATAGTTGTTTGACTTGGTTAAACAACCAATATGAGTGTTTAATTAATTAGTTTTTTGTAACAGTTTATTGTTTCAAAATGCTAAATTTAAAACGCTGCTCAAAACGGCTTTTTAGATTAACTTTTTGAAAATATCATTTTAAATATAATCAGTTAGTTATCAGCTAACAACTAATTACCAAACATCTTTATACAATCAGCTAATGCTATGAACTAATCAAATTCACTAATTCAATTAGCTAACAATTATTTACCACTCCTAAATCATTGGTTGCAATTATTGTTTGTTTTTGTTTTCATGATTAAAATTAAAAAATGAAATAAATTATTTTGTCATTGACAAGACGACAAGACTTCAAAAAAAATAATAAATAAGAGCAAGATCATTTTATCTTTAATTGTTGTAACCTTTGGCCTTTGGTGTACAATTATATTTTTCTTGGTTAGAGAAAATAAAAGTTTTTTTGAGGCATGGGTGTCAGTGTGTCACTATTAAAAATATAAGGGGCCAAACTGGAATTATCTTTAAAATAATTCATCGGTCTCGTGTTTTCTTTCTATAAAAACAACATTTCTGTTTAGTAGGTTGTAGGTGAACTAAATCTTCTCTATCTCTCAAATATTAACGGCAATGGCGACGAATGCAAACCCTAGTACGAGGCCGACGGTGAACCTGCAGGACCCGCAGGAGGTTCAGAAGGTGTTCGAGCGGTTCGACTCCAACGGCGACGGCAAGATCTCGGCGGAGGAGCTCGCCGGCGTCATGAAGGCCCTGGGATCCGACATCTCGCCTGAGGAACTGGGGAGGATTATGGAGGGAATAGACACCGACAAGGACGGATTCATCAACCTCCAGGAGTTCGCCGGCTTCTGCAAGGGCGACGGCGATGGCGGCATGAACGAGCTCCGCGAGGCGTTCGACCTCTACGACGAGGATAGGAACGGCTTAATCTCCGCCGCGGAGCTGCACAAGATCCTCACCCGCCTCGGCGAGCACTGCACCATGGACGCCTGCGTCGGGATGATCAAATCGGTGGATTCCGACGGCGACGGCAGCGTGAGCTTCGAGGAGTTTAAAAAGATGATGACGAACAAGCAGTAGCCGTCCATCATCCAGACTAGACGCGTAATACGCTGCCACGCACATGATTTTGGTGTGCGTGGATGTAGGGTATCATGTTGCATTGTCGCCGCAATAATAATAGTATTAATTGCTATAAATAGGAAGTACTTTGATATTTTATTTATAAAATATCACTGTTTTTTCATAGTTATAAATACTATCTCTGTCACAACATTTACTTGTCATATTTAGCTGAAACGCAAAGAATCAGTATTGCCTCCAGAGCCACATTGTGTCACTAGATCACAAGGTCATTGACATATATAAATTTTATATATTAATATTATTAGTTTTACGACCTAAGATAGCTGATCGGCGAACCAACATTACTGTAAACTACTAGGTTAAGAGAATATAGTGTTTGCGAGAGAAAAGGAGTAGAGTAACATTTAATAACTTGAATTTCGGATCCCTCACAAGATGACCCCAGAGAATATTTATACAAGGAATTAGAGCCTAAAAAGACAAGAAAAGGGAGAGTGCTAAATTTATGCTTTGGAATCTATCAATACTGGTGTAGTAATTGCCTAATATGAAAAAAGGAAGCTTCTTACCACGTAAGGAAAGAATCTGCACGAAATTTGCCCTTAACCGCCTTTAGACCACGCGCTCGGTGGGGGACAATCCAATTGCTCAGCCTGGTCGCCCATCCGAGCCAACTAGGGACCTGGTCGGGGACACATGCACCGACTACAGAGCTTGGTCGCCCATCCAAGCCAACTAGGGACTTGGTCGGGGACACAACGACTACATAGCTTAGTTGCCCACCCAAGCCAACTAGAGACATAGTCAGGGACATGCCGATTGCGGAGCCTGGTCATTCGGGTGCTTGTGCCATCGTTGCTTGTGACGGAGGCCTCACGTATCAAACTGCTAAGTGTTCCATGCAATCAGGCCCGACTTCTCTCCATGCTCCAGGCTGAGTGCCTAGTTGGAAGGTATCTATCAAATACTAAACTTAATATTATGAAAAATTAAATTAAAAATAACTCTAGTCAAATCTCGTTAATTGAATCAGGCACATAAAATAGGATTGAGAGTGATGGGGTAAGGACCCCGGCCCAAGAGATAGGGGCCCAAAGAAAATAGAAGTGGGCCAGCATCGAGAGGAGCCCAAAGAGCAATCGGGCCGAGTCCAGGAGTCGGCCGAGGCCCAAGCCCAGGAAAAGACCCGGCTCGAGGAGCCGTTGAGGGCATTAAAGGGGTTCCTTTAAAAGAGAGCCGTTGAAGCATTAAAGGCAGGACCCGGTCGGGCTGTTACAAGCCTAGGAGAGCCGTTGGTCGACCGAGTAATGGCGTCCAACGGCTCCATATCTTGATTAGCCTTGAAGTCGGCCATTAAGGGCCTTCAAGTCGGCAGAGAAGGAGCCACTATATAAAGGCTCCTCCATTCTTGTAAAAGGTAGACATTTTCGGACACCCGGGAGGGGGGGAAAATAACAAAGAAATTCCGAAGCACTAGCATTACCTCTGAGTTAGACGTACATTTTATCGAGAGGTGTATCCACCGACCAAAGGTTGTGTTGGACCTCCTTGGGCCCGAAAACCCTAAAACCATCACTGGCGCCGTCCGTGGGGATCGAAATGAAGAGTCACGTAACCTCTTGAGTGAGGCGAGTCCGAGGAATGACAGTTAGAACCTCAGTCGAATTAGGAAAACTCCAGACATGGCAGGAAGCGAGGAACAGTCGAGCCGTCATGACAACGGACGGGAGGCCGACCTGAGAAGCCAGCTGAATCGGAGAAGCGCTCGGAGCCAAGAAAACGAGACGACACCGCCGCCGACGCCGCAGATAAACCGGCAATTGCCTCAGGTGCTGCGCACCCCGGAGCAGTTACGCGCAATCGGACGCGCCTGCATCGAAGCAAGCCTAGGAGTGAGAGAACAGTCCGTCACCCGCCAGCCGCAACGCGAGTTGCAACCACCTCAGAGACCCGACAACCGGCAATTGAGCCGACGGGCTGAAAGCCAACCGGTACAATCCGTTCATTCCCGGCTGGGTCCCAGCGTTGGGCGTCGGTCGGCAAGAGAACGATTAGGCCGGAAGGAGCCCAGTCGTGCCCCACTAGCCGCCCGCGATCAACAAGCTGCACGAGAGAAGAGCCGAACCAAAAGAGCCAGGACTGAGACTCGTCGCGTGGAGCAACCCCCCCGCAACCCCGTCGTACCGGCTGAGTCTGAAGTCGGCGAGAGCACGGAATCCACGGGAAATCGCACCCGGGAGAGGGTAGAAGTGGCAAACTTAGTACAGGAGGTGCGAAATCTGAAAGAACGGATGGAGGGGAACGCCAAGTCCCCAGGACGTACGTTGCTGACCGCCTTACCCTTCTCGGACGAGGTTATGGCTTTTAAGATACCGAGTGACTTCAAGTTCCCGGAGCAAGCCACGTTCGATGGAACCGGCGATCCCCGTGAGCATTTGCTGAGCTATCAGGCTAAGATGCAGGTTTTGGGGGTACGAGATCCGGTCATGTGTCGCGCTTTCTTACCCACGTTGAAGGGGTCAGCACAAAGGTGGCTGGTGGCGCAGCCCTCAGGGTCGATTCACAACTTTGAAGAGCTGGCAAACCGCTTCATGAGCCATTACGCCGCCAATATCAAGCCACAAAAGGACCTAACTCACTTGGGTGACATCCGTCAAGACGAAGGCGAATCTTTGAAAACCTATTTGGCTCGCTGGCAGAGAGAAATCCAGTCCATAGAGGAGGTCGAGGACCAGACAGCGCTCACCTTCTTCATCGAGTCACTGCGGTCCGGCCAGCTGTACCGAGACTTGAGGGACAATCGTCTGGCCACCTACGCAGAAGCCATTCATATGGCCAACAAGAGGGCCAATACAGAGCAGGCTATGAAGTACAAGCGACAGCGCGAAGTCGGCGGATCCGCCAGCGGAAAGAGGACGCGAGCGGAAGCCAAAGAAAGGCGCCCGGACGTGGCTCGGTGACCCGAAGTTAGACGGCCGTACGACCGACCAGTGGTCCACGCCTATCGGCCGATTCCCGAGCGTCCGGTCCACGAGGTACAAGCGGTTGCCCCGCCTCCGCCTCCGCCGACCGACGATCGCGCGACAAACGAAGAGGTGGGTAAGAACTCTAAGTATTGTCGTTATCATAAATATTATACTCACAGTACGGAGGAGTGCTGCTACCTGAAGAAGATCATGGAGGGTATTATCCAGCAAGGAACCCCGCCTCCTAACCAATGGAGGCGGAGGCCGGGCAGTCGAAGGGATGAGGAACCCGTCGCCGTTGCCGAAAGCAGTCGAGGCAAGCAGCCGGTTCCCGAAGAGGAAGAGGCTCAGTGGCGCCAGAAACCGGTTATCAACATGATAGTCGGCGGGTCGGAAGGTGGTGATTCAGCGAACACCAGAAAAGCTTGGGCCCGGCAGTTGTACGTCGGGACAGTGTACGGGCGTGAGGAGAACTCTAAAAAGGTGTGTCGAGAGCCCATCGTGTTCACCGACAGAGATTTACCAGCCGGAGAAATACCGCATCGAGATGCGTTGGTTATAGCCATGGACGTCAACGGCATCGTCGTTCGGCGAATCCTGGTGGACACCGGGAGCAGCGTCAACGCGCTATATCTAGAAACCTTCACCAAAATGGGGCTGACTCGAGAACAGCTGAACCCCGTCAAAACTCCCCTCGCCGGCTTCACAGGGGACTCGGTGGAGGCGGAGGGGTCAATCACACTTCCAGTTGAGATTGGCACGTACCCGGACGTACAGAGACTCAGCATGAAATTTATTGTGGTAAACCTGGCCTGCTCGCATAACGCTATACTCGGCCGACCGGGTCTTGAGGATTTAGGGGCTTTGATCTCAATTGAGCATCTCTGCCTGAAATTCCGCACACCAAATGGAGTAGGTACGGTGCGCTGTGACCGAAAGGTCGCCCGCGACTGCTATCTGCAGGCATGCAGAGGGATGGGCAAACGCGAGATGCAGATCCATGAGATCACTGAGAGGCCCCCGAAGAAGACGATACTACCTCGCCCAGAGCCTGCTGTCCAGTTGGAGGAAGTCGAGATCGACTCTACGCAACCGGACCGACGGGTCCGAATTGGAGTCGGCCTCTCTGAGACATTGAAAAAAGAAATTGTAAAGGTGCTCCGAGAGCACCGGACGATTTTCGCCTGGGGCCCCGAGGACATGCCTGGTGTCGACCGATCAATCATATCGCACAGACTCGCCGTGGATCCGGAGCACCGACCGGTCGTACAGAAGAAACGATACCTGGCCAACGACCGGAGGGAATTTGTGAAGAAGGAAGTTGGCACGCTACTAGCGGCCGGGCACGTCCGCGAGGTTAAGTACCCGGAGTGGTTGGCAAATGTGGTCCTCGTACCCAAGCCCCCGACGTGGCGAATGTGCGTGGATTACACCGATCTTAATAAGGCTTGTCCGAAAGACCCGTTTCCCCTACCTCGGATCGACCAGTTAGTCGACGAAACGGCCGGGTCGGCGCTACTGAGTTTCATGGACGCCTTCAGAGGGTACCACCAAATATTTATGCACCTGGCGGATGAGGAGAAGACCGCCTTCCTGACACCGAACGGAGTTTACTGTTACCGAGTCATGCCCTTCGGACTTAAAAATGCCGGGGCTACGTACACCCGAATGGTCGCCCGGTTGTTCCAACACCTGCTTGGGAAATCGATGGCTGCGTATGTCGACGATATGCTCGTCAAGAGCCGGGAAGAGGACAAGCATGCGAAGGACCTGGCCGACTGCTTCAAGGTAATGATGAAATACAACCTTCGGCTGAACCCCAAAAAGTGCGCGTTCACCGTCCAAGGTGGTAAATTCTTGGGCTACATGGTCACCAAACGAGGCATCGAGCCTAATCCGGAGAAGGTACAGGCCATCATCGACATGCAGCCTCCTACAACCGTCAGGGACCTACAACGGTTGACTGGCCGATTGGCCGCCCTTAGCCGCTTCTTGAGCAAAGCGGCGGATAAGACCGTGCCTTTCTTCGAAGCCATGAAGAAGGAGGGATTCGCTTGGACTGCCGAATGCCAACAATCGTTCGAGGAGTTGAAACAGTACCTCTCAACGCCCCCAGTGCTGTCTACCCCCCAGGTGGGCGAGCCCTTATTCTTGTACATCGCCGCCTCAGCCAAAGCAGTGAGTTCGGTGTTGGTCCGAGAGGAGGACCGAGTCCAGCACCCGGTTTATTACGTAAGTCGCTCGTTGAAGGCCGCTGAGACGCGGTACACCGTTCTGGAAAAGGTTGTGTATGCGTTGGTAGTCACCGTGC